GGATATTCTGGCATCATGTATTTCTATGATACAGTCCACTTTCTTCAGACTGGCTCTCATCTGCTTCAGTCCTACAAACAGTGAGAAACTATTGTTAGCATTCATCACCCCTCCTCATACATAAGTCCCATCATGGAGATAACTAGTTGTAAGAAGCTATCACCTTTAGCCATGTGTCCGGGGAACCAGTGAGCCACGTCCCGTCCACCGAAGTCAAACACGGATCTGAACTTGTCGACATGACGGAGACTCTGGAACAGTTTCATGGCTCCAGGAGAAAACTACACCTCGGTTTGTTGAACGTCTTCATTAAATATTCTCCATCTAAATAACCTCCAAGCTGTGAAAGCACTGGACATGCTGGTGTGCTACACTGTTTACACGCCGACTGGAATCCACCATCAAACTATTGTTCCGCGCTCATACTTCTTCTTGTTTTTTCCACTTCAGTCATGGGTTAATGGGCGCATGTCTGCCCTCCTCAGGATAGAAAAGGAATTACTCTGATTACCATCTGGAGCACAGACTTAAAAATGTTGACCGAAGAGATATTTAAAGGTTATGAATAAAAGGGATAGTTCGCCCAAAAATTAAATTCACTCATTATCTACTCACCACCATGCTGATGGAGGGGTGGGTGAAGTGTTTGAGTTCACAAAACACTTTTGGAGTTTCAGGGGTAAACAGCGTTGCTGCCAATTTCAAGACAATTGAAGTCAATGGTGACCACTTCTTGTGGTATCATCCAAACCCCATAAGATTTAAATTCGACTTGAAATGAGGTAATTTATACCCACCTTGTTTTTAGCCTAAATGTCATCTGTTATCCTCCTCCGTATTTAAGCATGGAGGCATGGTAAAATGAGCTACTATAAAAAAAGTCAAATGCAATACAAAACTAAGACTTTATACATTTAAATGATGTTGTCTGCCTTCCACAGACACCGCTGGTGGTAACTTTAAATAAAAAGCAATACACCCAGAGATCTGACAAATGTAGTTTTTCTTCTTTTATTTACCTCCTGTGTTCTTAGACAAAGACAGAGCTCAACCTCAGAATCTCAAAATAAATTACAGACCACATTCACACTCTCATCTATACCTTCTGAGTTGCCACTGAGTGTTTTTCTTCCTGCAGAATACTCTTGATATAATTATATAACATGAAAATTACATCACATGCCTCACTAACTCTTAATAAAATATAAGGCGACAATGTTCTACAGTCTGTGTCTCAGCATACACGTTGCTGCTCTTAGCTGCATGCTTACACCGTCAATACACACATGTCAAATGTTTTTAACAAGTCGGAGTAGGTTTCACTTTCTGAAATTCACATACACATGATTCTGACTTTGCTCCCTTCTTCTTATGACATGGAATTTTTGGGATGTTTGTGTAAGTTTCCTACTTCACAGCTTTGGCTTGTAATTTTAATGATATATTATTTCAAACAATAATTCATTCATGTTCGTCAACAATTTTCTATATGGTACATTTCACCATATCATTAAGAATGAACTGTAATGTGAGGAGCAAACGTAATGCAAATGGTAAAGCAATGTGTTAATGAATCAATTCAATGACTAGATGAACTTCTAAGTAAGCTAAATTGAGTTTTATCCAATGTTCTGCACATAAATGTGATTACTGATATACTCATTGACAACAGAAATGTTTAAATGAAATCATCAGACAATGAAGTTACAAAATCCCTACTGATTCCTTGACAGCATTAGTACAAATCAGATTTCTAAGTGTGTCCTTACAAAGTTCATTACTTCATAACATTCTCTGGGACTTTCCAGTTTTTAAAGTGACTGATTTATACAAACCGCAGCTTTTCACACAGTCCTCACAATCAACTGTGACATCAGTGTTTGACTAAGTCAAAGACAAATCTGTTGAATCTCTTCTCATCAATGCAGCATTGTACTTTTAAAGCTTGGACTTGAGCGGCTCACTGACGGAGGAGTAGTGAGAGATGAGCCGATCAGCTTCTCTCCAACCACTGAGAAGAGCTCCATGGACGGTGGAGTAGTAGCAGGGATGAGTAGCCTCTCCAGCGAACAGCACCTGCAGGGGCTGAGACACACAGAGTATTCAGGATTTTTATTATGTGCGAGCTAGTATGTACATATTTGTGGTTTATGAACATGTAAGTACTTTTGACTGTGATCCCTTCGCAGGTAGGGGCTCCATCATGTTCTCCAGGTCCTGCTCCGAACAGCCTTTTCCAGGGTAACTGTAGGAGCCGCATGTCCAGGGGTCATGAAACCACTGGGAGCGCAGGACTCTCCTCGGGGTGATGGTCGGGTTCCCTTAACACACACACGCGCACACACAGTTATTCTAAAAATGCTGATGGATGATTTTAAAATAACCAAGGCTCAGAAACATTTTTTCAAAATACAAGGCGAAGACTAACCTGTAAACCTACGGATGAGTTGTGTGACGGCATGTGTGACCTGTTGTTCAGACAGTGTCTCCATGTACTCTGACTCATGTCCAGCTATCCAGCCACAGAGAACATGTCCATACCTGAGGATTTAACCACAGACAGGACAATGAACCATCAATCAATCATTGCAATTAATTATGAACTAAATTAGGGAATGTTCACCATTAACCATTTAACTGTGAACCAAGAATAAAAATGTTGACAATTAATAATATCGCTTAACAAAAACCTTGGACATCGGTGCCATCTAAGCACCGGCTGTCCGGGCTGTCACCAGACTGACTCCGCAGCGTGATGACATGTTGCTATTTCTGAATAAAAACCCGTAGAAAAGCAGTCTGCTGAGGACTGAGTGAACCTGGCTGACGTAGCTGTGTGAACACTCACAGCTAGAGTGGGAAGTTATACCAATGTCTGCCTGCCTAAGATTCTAAAATCTTGGATCTGTGGATGTTGTGAGGGGTCATTGAACCGACCAGATTTTTCCTGAGTGTGACAGACAGGTATTTGTGTGTGTGAGTTAAAGAGAGAAAGAAAAGATGAGTGTTGATTATTAGTGAGACAAAAGTTGTTTTAGATTTTCAGAACATCGTGGGTGTTGACCTTTCAGTGGGTTTCAGCACAGTGAAGCCAAACAGCTTCTTTATCCAGGATCCCTGAACGTCTGGCACCTGGTCCACAACAGCTTCCTGAAGAAGAGATCAGACACAGTTCAAATGTTTGTATATGTTAAAATGTTCTCATGCCAAATACACGTCAAATATCTGAGTGTAATCCTGCTAAATCAAAAATATTCAAGCATAACTGGAGCACAATGTGTTTTTTTTCTAACATACATCCACTGACTGAACATCTCACCTCATCTTCCCATATAAGGTAGATGACCTCACAGTCAGCGTCCCACCACGGAGAATCAAACTCCACAAATATTTTATTGTTTGTACCAAAACCCAGTCTCTGGATGGAGTGCAGCTTGTGCAGTGGGAGTGGAGGACAAAACAGAGTTGAATGGTTCTTCTTCAGGTATCCTGACAAAACACGACACGCCAGAACAAGTTACGCTATGATCATTACTGAACAGCCTCAATTCATGTAGAAGAAGAATCAAACAAAAGAGCAGTCAATAAAATGATTGAATTAGAAATAGAAAATACAATATTAATTTAGTTTTTAAAAGCACCTTTATAAGACCATGACATATTGTATAATGATTAATGACTCATGCTTTTAGTAAAGAATGTGTGTGTGTAAAATCATTGCATACTAAACTGCTATTCACAAAATGTAGGACTGAATAGTAATTTTGGTTTGTACACATATGACATATACCTAGAGGTACTGTGACAATAACATGGTCAGCAGTGATCTTCTCCCCATCATCACACTCAACTACAACAGGGTTTTTTCTCTTCTCCGAGTTGCTCCAGTGGACACAGCCCACAGGTCGACTGTAGGTCACTAAACCACCGGGAAGCTCTGATATCAAGTTTTTGATTAGACCTTCGTAGCCTCTGCATGGGATAGGAAATAAATGTTAGAAATGGTAATCAATTAACTGACAAACTGAATAATGTCCTGTTTTAGTATTACTCAGGGTTTTGAGGTTTTTTAGTTTGACCTGTAATATTCTATATCTGTCATAATCTACTTTTAACTGACTCCTGTCTCCCCTAGACTAATTTCTAATGAAAACCTAAATTAGCTTCTTTATCTTAATAACATTTGTCTACAAAACAATTGGTCGAATGAGCAACTGCAAGAAATCCCTTTTACTTAAATTATCAATATGTAGAAATAATGATTTTAAAAAATGGAGTATTGCAATAAATTATAGTTGCTGCACTCTACAAACCCTGGGAATATACAGTCCAGTCCAGGAAGAGTCTTATAAAGGCCAAAGGCCCCCAGGCCCACCTCATCCAAGCTATGGGCCCCGTTAACGCAGCACTCCACCTTCAGCATGTTGCTGATCATACACAGCTGTAGAGATCTGGTGTTTGCATCGATATCTTTCCATTTCTCTTCTGATCGTTGTTGCACCTGCACAAAGCAATAGAAGTTCCAGCTATTTCTGACAAACACATTTCCAGTGTTAATATATTATTCACAGAAAAAGACACAAACAGACAAAGTACCTCTGACCGGATGAAATCTCCCACACTGGAGCAGGGTTCTCCCCCTTGATTCTGAAATTCTGAACCTTCATTCAGCAGCTCAGCAAACATCTCCATAGCTGGATAGACGTCCACAGCATTAAGCTTCTGACCTGCACACATCCCATAGCCCACACAACACAGATTAGGGAAAATATATCATACCTCATCCAGACTACAGTAGGTAATAACAGACACTGGCTAAATGTGTCATTAAAGACAATAATAGAAACAGTTGCAAACATGGGTCAAATCTGCTCAAATATGATGGTTGTAATGCTCCATTCCAGTTTCGACTGAGGATAGTTCAAAGTGTTCAATTAAAATATTTCAGGAGTCATAGCAGACAGTTGTAAAACTAGACTTATCTTAAGTCAATAAAGCTCTCTGTCTAAAGGGGAAGACACACTAAAATTGTTTTCTACTGTCTAATCTTAACCTGAACTGCTGAAGAAGTTGGGAACCCAGGGGGGGTGTCCTCCGATGTCCATGGCCTGGTTTTCTGGGGTGAGGGCCTCTGGGTCCAGGAGTCCGTACTGCTGGGCCAAACAAAACACTGGGTTCTCCTTGCATGGTCCATGGATCCAGTTTGCCCCAATTTCAACTATCCTATCACCTACAGATGAAAACCTACATTAGAGCTCTCAGATAAGACAATGGTTATGGTTAAACTGTGTTATTACCTTCAAGGAGATTATATTTGGTTGTTTGTTCATTTATCAACAGGATTATGCAAAAAGTACAGAACAGATTCCTACGAAACTTGGAGGAAGGACATGGGCCAAGAAAGAACCCCCGGAGATTTTCCACAATTTCTCAGAGAATTATTCATGGCACTTGATTTTAAAAAATCAGGTTTATTAAGGGGTCTGATATCTATGAGTGTGCAATGTGGAGCAGCTTGACTGGATTTAAGAGTTGGGTCTTGGCTGTGATATGCACTCTACTTTTTCATTCCTCCTTTACCGCTCTTTTATTGCTGATTGTTATTTAAGTTCAATTAACATTGCGTAATTATCTCTTGCTTCTATCAGTTAGTCACATAATGTACAGCACATATAGCTTAGTCTGGACCTGGTTAAGAAAAAACACCACATTAAAAAAATACAAGTGAGACAATATGTGGATCT